CACCTTCTGTGGTGGACTACCTCGACAGCACGGGAAGTGACATTGGCAGATCCACACCAAGGCTGGCAAAGAAAACTGGCCCCAGAGAAGGCCATACTTGGGGAGCACCCTGAAGCCCATAATCCAGTAGAAGTAAGGGATCTGGAGCTATGACCACAGTTCAGGTCAGAGAGCACGTGGAGTCATGAATAGAGCCAGAAGACAGAAGAGAAGGTTCCGTGGATCAGCAGATATGTGTACCGGGCAATTGTGTGACCTTGTACGGAAATGTCTTAAGTTATTTATTCTAGGTCATGGCTAACTAGACCCACTTTGCAGATTCTGATAAGCGGCTGGTGAAAAACCCCTCTTGATTATAACGCAGTTTGATAGTGTCTCTTTAAAAATAACAGGATCCTTTGAATCACACATACATGAAAAAAATTTGCAATTTTGGCCTAAATGATAGACAGGTCTTAAATTTTGGGGACAGAAAAAGAAAGTGATGATATTATCGAGTACTGTGAGTTTCCACCAACGAATAATTCTGGCTAAATAGCCTAGACAATTTCAATAATTAAGAGAGAACACTGCACATGCAAAGAACACTGGATGTGGTCAGGACACCCGGGTTCTAATTCCATCCCCCCACTAACAAGCCGTGCTACCTTGGCTGATCCTGTATGACCTCTCTGGGTCTGATCCCAAATCCGTAGGTGGTAATAAAAACAATGTCTATTGTTTTACTGAGTGCTTTCAATGTTTTAGGCACTCACTTGGTCACTTTACATTCATTATATCGAATGTGTACAAGAACCCTAAGGTAGTTATCATTTCCACTTAAAATGAGAAAACGGAGGTTAAAGAGGCGAGGTAATTTATCCAAGCACGTAAATGCATGAGTCAGGACTCCAGTCACGATATGCTTTCTTCCAAAAATTATGTCATTTTTATTTTTTAAAATATGATTTTCTTGGGACTCTCTCAGCCTTAAAATTTTATAAGATCAGTGTTTGATCAAGTACAATGAATACAAGGACACACTCTAAATTCTATTATATAGTACATCAAAGATTGTTATGGGATCCTAAGAAAGCCAGTAAGCCTCTCCCTGTTTCGCAAGAAGTGGGAAATAAAAAGTTTTAGGACCTTGACACGGAAGGCACAAAGAATATTATAATCGCCCATCATATGTTTAAGCAAGCTTTTGAAATTTCTTAAAATTAACAAAAAAATCATAGTTTTAGTGCTCTCTGCATGACTTAATCACAAGGGTTATCAGATGGGAATTGAAGGAAATTTCTTCCCATGGTAAATAAAATACACAACTAATATCATTCATTTTCCAAACCATTACTGCTGCTTCTTAATACGACTGCCTGGTTTCTGAAAGGCAATTCCTTGGAAGGTCGTTTAAGCAAAAATACCTAAGGAATAAAGCTTAAGGAAGAAAGAAAGAACATCCTGCTCCTTGACATTAATCACGTTAACTCAAGAGGACCTAACAGACAGCTATGGCGTTACTCCTAACTGGAAGACAGTGAATTAAAGCACAGGGCTCTCAAGTCAACGGGAGTTACACACTGAAACACTGTATGTCAACTTGAGAATATGCCCCTAAGTTATTGTTCATGGACAGTGCCATTCCTCTGCTTAATCAAGAGTTAAAGCGTGTGCAGTAATTCCCTATTTTCACAATATTCTCTCTGACAATTAAGATAACAAACTATGAGAACAGATTTTACCTGGCTAAACCTGATGTACTGGTTTTGTTAATAAAAAATTCATGACAATTAATGAAATGGATCCACTAAGACAGTCCCCCAAAGTAGCACAGCTGCCCCACCCACAGATGAACTTCTCGTGACCTATATTATTCAGAAAGAACTGTAGTAACTTGCTCTGAAAATTGTTACATACAAAAGGCTCAGACAAAATCAAAGCATTACTCAGAAGCTGGCAAGATACCTCAAGTGAAGAATGTCTGATATGGCCACCTTTAATCAAATTTTCATTTGCTGTTCATATTCAGAAGACTATTTCTGTAATTCATGCTTTTCCACCACATTAAATTTTAATAAATGCAAATCTACATTTAAAAATCATTTTAAGATAATAATAACTAACACTTGGCTGAGTTCCAGATTTTATACTTTGTTATTCCAACTGCACTGAAAAGAAAGACTGTTGAGTAGCCATATCTTTTTCTTTTCATCTCAAGTCCTTAGTGGTCAAGTGCTAGGCAAAGAGAACAGACAAAAGAAGTTTAAGGTTCAGAATGATGTTTGATATGCTTCGACAAATAACTCAGCAGAGCATTTATTTTACACGGTTTCCCCCGTAAAAATAATCCTTTGCTTTAAGCCATGCTTGGATTTTTAAAATCAATTAGATGTCAATTCTTTTTCTACCATAAATGCACATATGTGTATATATATATATTTTTTCATTAAAGAATCCTATCAAGCGAGATAATTAACTCCACTTCCATAGAAAAAAATCAGAGCCTACACAGGACAGCCTATTCTTCAAGAATGACAGACCTGCACAAAAAGGCAGGTGAATGTGTTGCCAATGATGAGGATACGGAAAACTTATGATATACAATCTTTTCTAACCCAAAGAAATCTCACCATATTTAAATCTATCTTTAATTTAGGGAATAAAAATTATTTTTAAGAAATCTCAAATATACACAAGCAGAAGAAACATTGGCTTCTAAGACACTTGGGCTATCTCAGTAACAATTCACAAATGTTAGGTGAGCACCTACACCGTGTGTAAGACACTGGAGATAAGGTACAGAGATAAATAAGATACCATCAAGGAGTTTAAGTTTAGTAGGTGACACAAATGTGAATAAGGAAGAATAATTGTTTATATGTGTTGTGATAAGAGTGCAGGGCACAATGGCACTGTGTACAAAGTAGCTAATATTACTCCAGAGAAGCAGGGTCAAGAAGAGCTCCATAGAAAACGTCCATCTTGATGACTAATACATGTGATGTAGAGTTTAAAAATAAAATTTTTTAGTGTAGTTTGAGTGGAGGAAACAAATCAGTATTTCTATCTAAAGACTGTAACCCGGAGATGATGTGGAGAAAAGGAAAACTTTGTACACTGCTGGTAGGAACGTAAGCTGGTGTAGCCACTATGAAGAACAGTAGGGAGATTCCTCAAAAAATTAAGAATAGAACCACCATGTGATCCAGCTATCACACTTTGGGGTATTTATCCAAAGAATAGAAAAACACTAATTCGAAAAGATATATGCACCCCTACGTTCATTGAAGCATTATTTCCAGTGTAGTCAAGATATGGAAACATCTGTCCATCGATGGATGAATGGGCAAAGAAGACGTGATATATTCACACATACAATAGAAAACTACTCAGCCATGAAAAAGAATGAAGTCTCACCATTTGTGACAACATGAATGAAGCTTGAGGGTATTATGTTGAGTGAAATAAGTCAGATGGAGAAAGACAAATACTGTATGATTTCACTCGTGTGGAAACTAAAAAAACAAAACAACTGAACAAACAACAAAAACAAAAATAAACTCATAGATACAGAGAACAGATTGGCGGTTGCCAGGGGGGAAGGGGGCTGTGGGGTGGGAGAAATGGGTAGAGGGGGTCAACTGCACAGTGATGGACAGAAATCAGACTTTTGGTGGTGATCACTTTGTAGTGTATACAGATGTCGAACTACATTGTTGTATGCTCAAAACTTATATAATGCTATACACCAACTTTACCTCAAAAAACCTCCTGTAATCTTATCACTGAATTAACCTTACAGACACAGTTGTAAATCCATTTTGTTAAATTTTTAAATGGGTACAGATTTTTTCACATATTAGGGTATAAAGCTTCTTAACAAACTCAGGTATTGAAAAACGTTTACATTCAAATCAAATATATGTAAAATGTATTCAAATGTCTATAGAGTGGAAAAATATATGAATATGTTTTAATTTTTAAATCAGTTGGATTATGGATGATATCTAAGTTTTTTTGTTGTCTTTTTCCATTATTTAAAAAGAAAAAATTTCAGGGGCTGGCCCTGTGGCTGAGTGGTTAGGTTTGCATGTTCTGTTTCGGTGGCCTGGGGTTCATGGGTTCAGATCCCAGGCGTGGACCTATGCACTGCTCATCAAACCATGCTGTGGCAGCATCCCACATAGAAGAACTAGAATGACTTACAACTAGGATATACAACTATATACTGGGGCTTTAGGGGGAGGAAAATAAAAGAGGAAGATTGGCAACAGATGTTAGATCAGGGTCAATCTTCCTCACCAAAAAGAAAAAAAAAAAGCAATAGAGTCCATCTGTACCTGTAGAAATATGTGGCTAATTTAACAGTGTAGAGAATATGAATTACCTCTCCACGTCACTAGTTTATTCCTTGGAACTGAAACATGTATATCAGAACATGTATTTACATCCCATAACTCCTGAGATCACACTGATATAAAAGCATCACAGTCTAAAAAGAAATTAACTCATAAAAGGGAAGAGAAGAGAGGTGGGAATGGAGGTGGTGATTACCCCTAACGAGAAATTTTAATATATTATGGAAGACAGAAAGTTGGTAAGTGTGTCAACAGATGAAACACGCACAGAAAGAAGCATTCTAGAACAACCTCCCAGGAACTCAAGAGAAGGAGGTGCTATGGTTCTGGGCTAACAGGGAACTGGTATGAAGGAGGGCAGGAGTGAGTGATGGGGCCTTAAAACAGGACTGTTAATGGAAAGTCTCTAGAAGGAGACCTTTACTGTGAGCACACAGGGACGGCACCTTGATGTTTACCAACAGGCAAAGAGTCTGTCATTCTGTCTCTAAAGAAGTTCACTGAACTGTTTAGGAAAATGAATTCCCTGCAGGAAGCTAATCTGGATATGCATCCCCAAGTCAAATATTCCTCATTTTCGCACCTGTAGTATTACTTACTCACTAGATTAAAATTAAAATGAATCCCACCAGTTTATGTTCTTTATTCTACTCCATACAGTACTCTCCAGCAGAATTCCCACACGGGAGAAACAGGCCTACTTACAGACTAGCTAATGAAGTCCATACCAGACACTTGGCCTTCTTTTTTAACCCTGAAAAGACAAGATGAGAACTACAGGAAGAAAGGAAAGAACAAGGTAAATAAACAGAAAACCTGGTCCCCCAAAGAAACAGTTTAAAGAACAAAAGTAAGAAAAAATTATAACTTAGACAGAGAGATAAGAGACGACATCATGTTGATTATACAAGATCAGGATGCCATGAAAAAAGAATAAAAAATAAGAAAGCATTTTTAGAGAAAAATACCATTGACTAAATTAAATGTTAATAGAAGGACTTGATTGCACAACAATGTGAATGTACTTAATATGCCACTGAACTCCACACTTAACAATGGTTAAAATGATAAATTTTGTTATATACATTTACCACAATTTTAAAAAATGACTATGGGAACTTTCATGTAACTTGCAAAATGGGAAAGTATTTCCCAGAAAAGCTCCTCTTAGCCAACAGCAGTGGTAAAAATTTTTTATCTATAGACAATCTATTTTTACTCTTGAAGATGGAAAGGTACTTGAAAGCAACAATGAGGAAGCAGATGCCATATTTATATTTATACAAATAAATATTTCAAATCCATTGACCGAAAAAAAGAACTTGAAATAAAGTTGAGGAAACTTCTAAAACCATGTTAAGTTAATCAGAAGGTTAAAGATTTAGAAAATATAAATAAAAATATGAAAGAATCAGTCTAGGAGGTACAACATCTGGCAATTAGGAAACCAGGAAGAGACATCAGAAAGAAAGAAAAAAAGAGGGGAGAAAACTATCAAATAAACGTAAGGAGCATTTGTCAGAGATGAAAGACAAGAATCTTGAAATTGAAAGCATCCAGAAGTACGAAGCACAATAAATGAAAGGAGAGCATTCTTAGACACCTCCTTATGTGATTTCAGAACACCAAGGTGAAAAGTACTTTTAGCATCTTCCATGAGAAAAAGTCTACTAAGGAAAACTGATTTGAATCATTCTGGAATCTGTTACTGGAAGCAAAAAAAAGAGAAGAGTAGTATCTTGAAAGTTTTGAATGGATGTAATTTACAAATTTGAACTACCATTTACCTTTTGTTTGGAAGTTAGTTGAAGAGGGAATAAAGCAAGAAAGAAGACATGGACTCCTAGAAACAGTGAAACCAACCCAGTAGGGCAGTGAAGAGAAATCCTACGACGACAGCTGTGCAGCAGCCTAGAGAGCACCCAACAGGTCCGGATTACAGCAGAGGATGGCGGGCTCTGGTGAGAAAGGGAACCACATAAAACAGAAAGGAAGAGTGACAAGATGGAAAAAGCTGAAATAATAAAGCATGAGATCCAAGAAAAAGAAAGGTAATTAGAAATTTCAGACAGGATGAAACAACTGTACAAGAAAGTCATGACTGAAGAAAGAAAGAAACACAAAATATGGTATGATTTTAAGTACTTGAGGGAGTAAAAAAAATCCTTTTGTCTTGATCCAAAGAACATTCTCCTTTGGCAGAGGGACTGACAAAAATGCAATCCAAAGGAAAGGAACTATAATTCTTGAATACCTCATGGCCAGCATAGTCAATAACGCTGCTTCCTATTTTTCAAATAGGAAAAATTGAAAATCTGAACATCAATCTGTATATGAAGCAATGAAGAATTTCATTGTTAATTCCATGTGGATTAGGACAGGTGGAGAAAAGAAGAGAAAATAAAATACAAATTCTTCACCTTCATTCAACTTGTTGAATACTTCTTAGGACAATTAGGACAATAAGAGTTCTTTACAGATCTATATATTTGCTATTTCAATGTTTTCTAGAAGTCTACATTTTGTCAGTGTTTATACTGATAAATATAATTATCTAAAAAATAATCTGTGTATGTATGCCTTATTTGAGTATTTTGACAATTGTTTTTGGATTATCTTTGCTAAAGATTTCTGCCATTTTTTAGATTGATAATATCAATTGCAGAACCCATAAACAGGGAAATTAAAAGAAAATGGAATAGAGCTGTTGATTCTTAGAAATGACTTTGACATGGCAAAAATTCAGCAACCTGTCCAATCAAGTACCATGTACGGAATGTGAAAACAGTCCTCAGGTGACAGGAGGAAGAATGTGATCTTGCTGCCATTCCCTTCTTTGTCGGCATAAACCAGAAATTATTTTAAGGTGATCTTTCAGAACGTCTGTGGAGTCATATATGAGTTAAAAATTTTTGAAGAGTTATATAAAAATAAATACCTACAGAACTTAAACATGAAGACACAAAGAAACATATCTGTCATGGAATTTGTTAATATTTATGAACAAACACTGATGAATGCAAAAACTACGAGTGATCTTCACACACATGAAAGAGCCAGCAGAATACTGATTGTGAAATTTGAGATCCTGTGGTTCTTGTAGTATAATTAACAGTGTAAAGGAAGACTTTGAGTTCTCTAAGATCCCTTTAGGAAGTTTTTCTCCCCTTGCACGCTCTGGTTTAACTCCACCCCACTGATTTTAAAAGGCAACAGCACAGCAAACAATATTCACTTCCTTGTAAAGATTTTAAGACCATTTAATATGTAAGGAATAAAGCGAGCGACAGAGACTTTGAAAGCTACTAATGATTTTGCCAGTTGTTTTAACAAGTATTTACTGGAAAATCAAACAATCCTTTTAGAAAAAAAGTCAATATGGTTTAGTCAAATAAAAAGAATTTTGCTCTATATTAGAACTTACTTATAGTAACATTAAACCAAAAAATAATTTCCTGCCAGTGACACTGTGTGTTCTTTATAAATAAACTACTATAATACTAGAACTTAGAAAGACCAGTTTCAAACGAAGCAGCATATGCGGGACACCCTGACGCACATTCTCGTTTCAGAATACAGTGCTGCCTTCTGCAAGGATGCTTCCCCAGTCCTCTATCAACCCACGCTGGCTCTCACTGCTATTGCTGTAGTACAGAGACTGTCCCCCTTAAAAGGAAGACGAGCAAGTACTGAAGAGTTATAAAGGAGACTAGAACCTAACTGGGGTTTTCTCTCTGGTGGACTGATTTTGTAATATCACGAAATGCAGCTCTGAAGAGAAGCATTTTGTTTTCTGTTGGTCAGACATTTTTGTTTTGTTTTTAATTTAGGAGCATATCCAGTTTGTAGCATGTGATGAGGGAGGTACGTTTTAACACAGTCTACTTCTTTAAGGACTGCTTTAGAAAATCAGCCATCAGGAGTCCTGAACTTTGCCTCCAATCTTGCTCTTCTGTGTTGATGGTCAAGTCATCTTACCTCTTTAGTTCATCTACCAACATTAATCACTGTCTATCCACCCAGACACTGAAAAGATAGGCACCACTATCCTTTAACTTCTTTGAGCAAAATGAAGTCACATGAAATTTATATTATTAAAAAAAGAGAGCTCACTGGAATTAAACACTAGGATAAATGAATATGTCATGTTGACTCTAGCTGCCAGTGGGAGTCAAATGCAAATCAGTAGCATCAACAAATAGTACTGAATTATCCACAGGCACATATCATCATGCTGCCCCTTGGTACTCTAAGTTTAATAAGCTTTTATTCTTGTAGCTTCTAATATATACAATTTCAGTGACACAAAGAAATATCTGTAAAACTATTAAGCGTTTCAGTGCCAGGTGAGTGTATCTGGAAGCTATGATTGGAAAGCTACCCAGATTGACACGGTGAAATGATGGACTAGAATCTGTCTAATTAGGTTATATCTTATTGAAGCTAAAACATAACGTTTGTATAGCCTCTAAGTGTGATGAGCATCTCTTATTGAGATGAGAGCCAGAAACCAGGAGAACTAGAGTCTAATTACTTATTCATTATACAAACAATTATTTAGCACTTACTGTCAGCCGGACAGTATACTAGGTGTTGGAATAAAAATTCAAATAAGATAAAGTCCTTGCTAAAGATAATTTTTATGAATGATGGGAGGTAAGGGTTAATGCTAATTTTTTACATATATTTATCTAGTTGTTCTATACTATTTGTTGAATAGACTTTCCTTTTCTCCATAAATTGCCTTGTCTTCATTGTTGAAAATAAATAGACCACATATATGTGGGACTCTCTATTCTATTCCAATGATCTACCCCATACTTCTATCCTTTCACCAGTACCAGTGTCTTCATGTCTGTGACTTTATAGAATATATTTTGAAATCAGTAGTATAAATCCTCCAAACGTTTCTTCCATAAAGTTGCTTTGGCAATTCTAAATCAATTGCATTTTCATATAAATTTTGGAAGTAGCTTGTCAACGTCTATAATAAAGAGTGATGTAATTTTATCAGGTGGTGTTAAATCTACAGATCAATTTGGAAAGAATGACTAAGCAATATTTAAGACTTAAAGAAGTCTTCCCATTTATGAACACTTTGTATTTCTCCATTTACTCAGGGCTTCCATAATTACTTTCAGTAATCTTTTGTAGTTTTCAGAGTACATTGTTAAATTCATCCTTAAATTTTTCATAATTTTGGATGTGATTATAAAAGAAACTGAATTTTTAATTTCATTTTCCAATTGTCCATTGCTAGTAGATAAAAATACAGCTGAATTTTGTATATTAACCTGAATTTGAGGATTCCTTATTTTCTCTGTATACAAGGATATTGTCTGTGAATAAAGGCAGCTTTATTTCTTTACAATTTTCAATGATTATAACTTCCTAGACAGTTGAAGTGGTGAGTAGACATCCTTGCCTCGTTCCTGATCTTTCACAGAAAGCATTGAGTCTTTATCACTAAATATGCTAGCTGTAAGTTTCTCCCTAGACGTTATTTATTAGTCAGATTGAGTAAATGAATGGGTTTTGAATTTTATCACATGCTTTTTCTGTAACCATAGAGACAACTGTTTTTTCTCCTTTATGTTGTTAACACGGTGAATTACACTGATTTTTAAATGTTAAACCAAACTTTCATTGCCACCTGGTCATAAAGCAGTTTCCCTTTATACATTGTTGGATTTGATTTCCTAGTTTTTGGAGGATTTTCTGAGTCTATGTTCATGAGGGACAACAGCCTGTAGTTTTGTTTCTTGTGATGCCTTCACCTAGTTCTCATATCAATGTAAAATTAATGTCATCAACTAAGTTGGGAAGTATTCACTCTTCTATATTCTTTTTTTTTCCTGAGGAAGATTAACCCTGAGCTAACATCTGCCACCAATCCTCCTCTTTTTGCTGAGGAAGACTGGCCCTGAGCTAACATCCCTGCCCATCTTCCTCTACTTTATATGTGGGGCACCTGCCACAGCATGGCTTGATAAGCGGTGCATCGGTCTGCACCTGGGATCCAAACTGGTGAACCCCAGGCTGCCCAAGTGGAAGGTGAGAACTTAACTGCTGTGCCAGTGGACAGGCCCTCCTCCTCCTCTATATTCTGAAAGAGTTTGTGTTAGAATTGTCATTGTCTTCCTTAAATGGTTGACAAAATTCACCATGAAGACACCTGGGCCTGGAGTTTCTTTGTGGAATGTTTTAAATTATGAATTCAATTTCTTTATAGATATAGGGCTATTCAGAGCTTCCATTACTTCTTATGTCAGGTATGGCTTTATTTCTAGACTCTGAATTCTATTCCATTTACCTAGATGTCTGTCCTTCTGCTAGTACCACACTGTTTTGACTAGTGTAGCCTTGTAGTAAGTCTTGAAATCAGGAAGTGTGAGTCTGCCTTCTTTCTTCTTTTTCAAGACTATTTTTGCTATTCTGGGTGCCTTGCAACTCCATGTAGAATTTGGAAAGACTACAAAGATATCAGCTGCAATTCTGACAGGAATTATGTTAAATACATAGATCAATTTGGGAAGTTTTGCCTTGTTAACAATACAGTCTTATGATCCATGAACATGGGATGTTTCCCCATTTATTTAGATCTTCTTTAATTTCTTTTAACAATGTCTTGCAGTTTTCAAAGTGTAAGTTTTGCACTTATTTTAAAAAATTTATTCCTAAGTACGTTTCCCTTCTTGATGTTACTGTAAATGTTGTTTATTTGATTTCATGTTTGGATTGCTCGTTGTAAGTGTATAGAAATACAACAGATCTTTGCATATTGATTTTGTATCCTGCAATCTTACCAAATTTACCAGTTCTAACAGGCTTTTACTGAATTCCATAGGATTTCCTATAAACAGTCATGCCTTGCTTAATGACAGGGATACATTCCGAGAAATGTGTTGTTAGGCAATTTCGTCACTGTGCAAACATCACAGAGTGTACTCACACACTAGATGGCATAGCCTACTACACACCTAGGATATATGGTATTGATCTTATGGGACCACCATCATATATATTAGTCCATTGTTGACCAAAACATTGCTATGTGGTACATGACTGTATATGATCATGTCCTCTGTGAATAGAGAGTTTTACTGTTTTCAATCCAGTAGCCTCTTATTTCATCTTCTTGCCTAACTGCCCTTGCTACAACTTCCAGTACAATGTTAAACATAAATTCTGAGAGTGGACATCCTTGTCTTGTTTGTAATCTTAGGAGAAAACTATCCAGCCTTTCATTAAGTATGAGGTTACCTGTGAGTTTTCATAAATGCTCTTCTTCAGCTTGAGAATAGTCCCTTCTATTCCTAGTCCATTAAGGGTTTTTCTTTTTCTTTTCTTTTTTTTTTTTATCATGAAAGGTTGTTGGATATCACCAAATGCTTTTTCTGCATCTACTGAGTTGATCACATGGGTTTTGGTTTCCATTCATTTTCTATAATTTCATTTATATTTAGTTTTATTTTAATATTCATGTATGTGATGGTTCATTGCATGTGTCAGCTTGGCTGGGCCACAATGCTCAGATATTTGGTCAAACATTATACTGGATGTTTCTGTGAGAGTTGTTTTAGGATGAGATTAGCATTTAAGTTGGTGGAGTCTGAGTAAAGCAGATTTCCCTCTATAGTGTGGGTAGACCTCACTCAATCGGTTGAAGGCCTTAAAAGAACAAAGACTGACCTCTCCTAAGCAAGAAGGAATTCTGGCAGCAGACTGCCTTTGGAACCAAATTGCAACCCTGGCTCTTCCCTGGATCTCCAGACTGCTGGTCCACCCTGACAATCTGGACTTGCCAGCCTCCATAATCACGAGCTGATTCCTTAAACTAAATCTCTTTCTCTCTCCTATACACACCCCAATGGTTCTGTTTTTCTGGAGAACTCTAACTAATAGAGATTTTGGTACCAGGAGTGGAGAGCTGCTGTAACAAATATCTAAAACTGTGGAACTGGGTAAAGGAGAGAGGCTGGAAGAGTTTTGAGGTGCATGTTAGAAAAAGCCTATATTGCCTTAAAGAGACTGTTGGTCGAAATACAGATGTTAAAGGTGATTCTGGTGAGGTCTCAGATGGAAACCTGGAACACGTCTTTTGGAAACTGGAGGAAAGTGATTCTTGTTTTAAAGAGGCAAACGACGTGGCTGAACTGTTTTCTAGTATTTTGTGGAAAATAGAAATTCTAAGTGATGAACTTGGATATTTAATTGAAGAGATTTCTAATAGGAAAAGTATT